CGGCGGCCCCGCCCTGTCAGCACCTCTCCAGACCCACGGACTGCCAGGGCTGCCTCGGGGCTGTACGGAAATATGGCGACCTCATGACAGCCGCTCCTAGATCCCCGCCCCTAATTAATTCTTGGCGTTTGCCATAGGCCAGCCGCCCGAGCGGGAAAGAGCTTGTGTGTGGGGAGGAGGAATGAGGCTGGAGGAGGGAGAGGGTGTGTGGGATTTCTGGAACCAAGTCCCACTTAGGCTGTATGACTAATGGGCAGGATAAGACAGGTCTCGCAAATTATAAAGACTGCAGTTAAAAAAAAAAAAGATTTGCAGTTTTGCTATCTGGGAAGTTAGCAGGCTCCCTTGAAAGTAAGTATTTTGACTGCCTCAAAGGTCTCTGGAAGTATCCAGAACTTTTCTAGAAAGCAATGAGCAAACTACAAAGCCTGCAAGCCTTGTAAGCCTGCAAGAAATCTGTTGATAAAGAGGGAAATTGGATTTTCTTAAATACTGCCAAATAGTAGATTGGTTAATTTATAGAGCAACCATGAAAACAAATAGTATGCAATTCTTTTTTTGTTTATTTGTTTGTTTTGTTTTTGAGACAGGGTCTCACTGTGTAGTTGAGACTGACCTGGAATTCACTATGTAGCCCAGGCTGGTCTCGAACTCACAGCGATCCTCCTGCCTCAGCCTCCGGAGTGCTGGGATTACAGGTGTGCGCCACCACACCTGGCAATAGTATGCAATTCTTAAAGGCCATGTTTGTAAAGCAATCTTTATTGTATATTTTATAATTATATTGTATATTTAACATATATTAAATATCGTGTATTTTATAACTATATATATAAAATAGAATTTGATATTTCAATACAAATAGTGTATGTCCATCATGAGGGTACTTAGCATATTCATCATCTCATGCATTTATAACTTCTTTGTAGGGAAACATTCTTTTAGCTATTTTGAAATATTCAATACCTTTATTGTTAACTATAAACACTACTGCTATACAGTAGTGTTACAGAACGAATTGGCAAGTGACACACAGAGAGGGCAGCAGAATGGAAGTAAAATAAAAAAGTTTACTCCATTGATGGGGAGATGACACCTAATGGTAGTGCCCTGATCGACCCCCCCCCATTGGGTTATAACTCCTGCTTTTATAGGGTTTTACAGCCTTGAACTTATTCAGTTGGTTACATTGCATTTTCACAGCTCACATTGCTGATACCCAAAACATGGTAGCAAGGCAGTTGAATTTCAACCTGGATGCAGTTCTCTGTTAGGGAAAGATTTATTCAGTTTACTACTCTAGCCAGAGGGAAGGGAGCGTGTTTGGTCAACAAAGCTAACAATGGTTCTTTTCACTTGCAAAACTTTTAGGGTAGACTAGGTGCCTCCAGTGCTGGTTAAATCTGAACTAAACAGAGTGAGGGGCAGAAGTTATTTTACATTGTGACTTTTCCTAAACTTTCACTATTAAAGTTTTCCCTATGAGTAGAGCACCAGAACTTATTCTTCCTACCTAACTTTGCACCTGTTGACCACCCACTCCCCTTCCTTGGCCCTCCCAATCTCCTGTCTCAGGTAACCACTATTCTACTCTACTTTTATTAGATCAACTATTTTTAGGTTCCATATATGACTGAGATCATATGATACTTGTTTTTCTATATGTGGCTTATTTCACTTAACATACTATCCTCCAAGTTCATCCCTGACTCCAATGATGATTTCATTAATTTTTAATGACTGAATACTCCTCTAAATAGTATTCCTTTTTTTTTTTTCTTCATTGCTGGGGCTTCAGTTCAGGGCCTTGGATAAGCTGGGCAAAGGTTCTGCCATTCCCATCCTAGTATTCTAATTCTGTTGGGAATTTCATTAGATTCCAAGTCTTGGGCCAGTTCTGCAACAGACATGAGAGTACAGATGTTTCCTCAACTTACTGACTTCATTGCCTTTGGAGATAGATGATAGATAGACAGATAGATAGATAGATCCAGTACTGGGACTACTGGGTCATATGGTAATTCTATTTTTAATTTTTTATTAACCTCCATTCTGTTTTTCATAATGGCTATATTAATTTACATTCTCAGCCACAGTATGTGAAGGTTTCCATTTCATCACATCTTCACAAGAACTTTTGTTTTCTAACTAGAGTGAGGTGGTATCTCCAAATGGTTTGGGTTTGCATTTCCCTGATTAGTGATGTTGGTCATTTTTTATATACCTGTTGGCCTTTTGTATGATTCTTTTAAAAAGTATCTATTCAAGTCTTCTGGTTGTTTTAAAATCAGGTTATTTATTTATTGCTAAGTTTCTTATATATTACAGATGTTAATCCCTAGATAAATATTTATTGATGTAAAAAACATTCACAAAGGAATTAAGAAAACAAGAGGTTACAACATATTGTGTAACATTTAATACCTCATTATTGTAAAATCAAATATAGTATATACATATGCATATATACATATGTATACATACATAATGTCATCCTTTGGTATCTGTGGGGGATTGGTTTGAGGACCCCTGCAAATACTGTAAGATTTGAATTGGCTAAAGTGACTCCATGCTAATAGGCCAGACTGTGCTTCTTCATATGCTAATTGCTACCTTGGTTAACAGCCCGCCCAGGGGCAAATGGTATGACAAAAGGTGACCGTAGAACATTTCCTACATAAGATAGGCAATGTGTTTACAGTCTTGTTCTGTGAATTCCCTGACTCTTTGTTTAGAAAAACCTTATAAAAAGTACCTCAGCCCCTGAGCAGTTGCCTCTCTGAGCTACCTGGCTCCAGGAGTGCCTTCTGGCCAGACTAATAAAGGTCTATTTACCATCTAGCCTGGTGTGTTCCTTCATGGGTTTCTTGTTTCTCCTTCGAGCTCACGGAGCCTCATTGGGTGTTAGGGCCCAGCATCGTGGAGGCCTTTTTGGCTGTTCACGCTCCGTGGAGTGGAAGTGAGACTTTAAGTCTTACAATACCAAACTCTCTAGATTACTTATAATACCTGTTACATATAAATGCTATGCAAATTATTGTTATATTGTTTAAGGAACAATGACAAAAGAAGCCTGTACTTGCTCAGTATAGACAAAATTTTTCTCTGAATATTTTAAGTGCAGTTGATTAATTCTGGATGCCAAACCCACTGACACAAAAAGCCATCTATGTACTCACACAATGAAAAACATTTAATATATACCAAGACGAAATTTCTAGATCTGGAATTATGAAAATTTCCCCTATTTATCTGCATTTCCGAAATGTAGTACTACAAATATACTCTGATTATGGTAAATTTTAATTAAAAAAAAATAACACTCCATGGCAAGAATGAACCATTATTTATTTATTTATTGAAGTTTTTTTGAGACAGGTTCTCACTTTATAGTGCAAGCTGGCCTTGAATTCATTATGCAGCCCAGACTGGCCTCAAACTCACAGCAATCCTCCTGATTCAGCCTCCTGAGTGTTGGGACTGCAGTCATGCACCACCACACCCTGCTGAACCATTATTTGTTTGACCAATTTATTTGACCATTATGTTGTGATAATTTAGATTATCTTCAATGTTTTATTTGAACAGTTCAAAAACTGCTGCCCAAGACATCCCATGTACAGATCATTAATTTCTGGTACTTTTATTTCTGCAGAATAAATTCCAAAAAGTAAGATCGCTGTATCTAAATTATGTATGTGGCTTAATATTTATAAGTACTGCAGGGGGCCGGGGATTTAGTTCAGTGGTGCTGCCGCCTGCTTCGCAAGCACAAGGTTCCAAGTTTGGTCCCTAGTACCAAAAGAGAAAAAAAAGTACTGTAGGATGGAAGTGATTTACCTTGCCAACAAGGTAACTATTTACCTTGCTATTTGGCTGTGAGCATAGTACTGCATGGTTCCAGTCTTTGAACAGAAAATAGTATCTCCTTATTGTTTTAGTTTGCATTTCCCTATCAGTAGTGCTTCATGTCTTTTCAAGTGGTTATTGTATATTTGCATCTCCTCTTCTATAAATGCCTATTTTTATCTTTTAAGCCTCATTTGCCCCCGGTGGGTCCTTTGTATTTGTCTTCTTTTTGTCATATTTTTCTTTAATTTTCAAAAATGCAAGAAAGAGCAGAGAACAATATAATGAATCTGTATATGCTTATTACTCTGATGTAGAAATTCTCGAAACTACTGTTAGGGAATTGATCATGTTAAAGTATGCTGTGACGCCGCCTCACAGGCTGCATTCTCCTGGTACATCTTGGCTCCTAAAATGACCTCATGCCCTTATCTCTGGTTTCCCTCCCCACCAAGGCCACAGTGGTCCAGGAAAGTTGAAACCTGTGTCTGCAGGACTCGGCCCATAAAAGCAATCCGGCCTGTGTTAGGTTAAAAGTAGCTCACTCCTCATAAATAAGCAATAGCCCACCCCAAAACTGATAAAAGGACCTTCCTTTCTTTGTTCTTCTCTCTCCTTCTGCTTCTTCTTCCTTCTCTCTCTCTCTCTCTGCCTTCCTGCCTCCTGCTCGCCTCTCTACAATAAAGATCTCCTGCCGGACCTCTTGGTGTGTGAGTGGCCTAATTGGGAAGGGGCACCCGAAAGGGCACCCGAACCCCCTTTCATTGGTGTCAGAACTGAGATCTGGGATTGCCAGGTCCACGGGCTAAACGTC